GAAATACTAGATTCTAAATATCTAACTAGACACATATGTATAAAGAAGTCAAAAGTATAAAAATAAATTTTATATTTAATCTAAATTACACGAATCACACAGTAAATAATACTAGTATTAAATAGTGAATGTTGTATTTATAAAATAAAAATTATTATACTTTCTAACTTGGTCGTGTTTTATAGGGAGATGGCTCTTCTTTAATAAAACTATGTGAATTTATAACTACTCTCTTATACGTATGACAAATATTTAGTTTTAATTGTTTCATTATTTTGTCTTTGAAAATGTACGACATTTTCTCATGTACTGGAATTTTAATTAAAAGAAAAAACATAATGTATTAAAAGAACTACTATAAAACAATGTAATTGTCACGTCATTCTTGTGATATGTCATGTCATTTAAAGTACATATGTATGAGATTTACTAGTAAATTTACTAATAATCAACTATCATTTACTTCAAAATTCATTGAATTATATAAATTTGATTGTGGAATCTATAAATTCAATTATACATACTAAATTCTAATAAAGTCTAACACAATCAAATATTGTTTCGAATAAATTTATTAAATAAAATATATTTAAACTAAATAATAGAAAATAAACACAAAAATGACATAAAGACCACACAATTGTCTAAAAAGAAAACTGGAAAGAAATTTAAATCATGTTCAAATATGTAATCATGTTATTCAATATAAAACAAATTTAACTTGTTTTAGGCCAAAATAAAATTAATACTGGAATAATCTAATATAAAATATTTTTTAACGGTATATATAAAATTAACAAGACTTAAATATAAGATTGGCTGGAGCTAGACATGGCCACGGATAAACCGGCCCGCCGACCTGACCCGGACCCGACCCGGACCCGGCACGGTCGGGCCGGGTCGTGACCCGGACCCGGCCCGGATCTTGGCCATGTCTAGCTGGAGCTAGCTCACCCATTTAAGTGATTGAGGGCTTCTAGCTAAGAAGTGTTGTGTGATCCGAAAAAAAATAAATAAATAAATCAATTGTGTGGTGTGAGTTAAATTAAAATTCTTTGTGTTCCTTTTTGTTATTATTATTCCATGTATGTGTGTGTGTGTTTTTTTTTAATTAAGATTATTGTCAGCATAGTGGTATATATTAGTGTGAATGGGAAATCTTTGTTATTACTTATTAACTTCTTGAAACATTTGATAGATTGCATTATTGTCAATTAGTGGTATCGGGCGTTATGAATGAGAATCTTTTGTTATTAGTGTTTAACTAGTATAATATCCGTGTAGAACACGTACACTTGTTAAGAAAAATTATATTTAAAATTAAATAATAATAATAATAATAATAATAATAATAATAATAACATAAAATGTTTTAGTTTTTAAATACTATTTTGAAAACATTTATTATTATTATATTTAAAATGACACCGTCACTTACACAACTTACCATTTTATATTATAATTTTCTTTTTAATTTATATTAATAACTACTTTGTAGTTAAGTTAGCTTAAATAATTTTATATTTTCAATTAATATTAGAAGATTTATAATATAAATATAATTATTTATTTATTTGGTATGTATAACTGGACATGATATTCAAAAAGGCTTGGTTTATTTTGTCCGAAAGATGACAAGACAATTGATTAAAGAAAAGAAAAAAAGAGAAGTTAAATGAATCAAAAAATCGATCCAATTCATATCCACGATTATATGTATAGAACCTCCAAGTCAGGCTGGATAGCATTTCGCAGGCCCAAAAAAGCCCACTAATCAGTCCAGATAAGCCCATTAGGGAACCATTCTCCTGGACTAGTGAGACCTTATAGAATAAAATCACATCCAAGACTCTCCGTACTCCAGTGTCTCTTTAACAGAGCTTATTTAAGCTCTTCAAAGTATGTATTAGTATTACGCTCTTCAACTCTAAATACATAATACAAAGAAACACATAAAATATGATAAAAATACAACATAACAACTTCTCAACTCGAAATTCGTTTTACAAGATCTTAAATCGAGATCGTTTGGATAACACCAGCCGAGCCGAACACCCTTGAGAGTACGAAACTCAAATGCAACATATAAAATGTGAATCACGCTACACTACCCGAGCGAACGAGTTACAGATTGAGTTGTACAAATGAACAAGATATTTACAACACAGAAATAGACACTATAGTCTATAGTCACCCAATTTGAAACATACAAGAATCAAATATGAGAGAACCATAACTCATGAGAATTGACCACCCACAAACACAAGATCATTATTAAACTGTAAATTTGCGCAATTTATTAGCAAATATACAAAACCCAACATAAACACGATACTTACTTCCAATCAAGCATGTCGAGCAGCCACAAGACTTGGTCCTCTGAGCTGGCAGCATCGCAAAAATCGAGCTCTATACCAAACACATCAATATCCCCTTCTCCACACTGGTCCGTGAAAAGCAACGAGGCCCATGCCCTTATGCCCGACACAAAAGGGTGCTCGGGCGAGAAGTCAAGATAGTCAAATGCCATGGCACGATAAGTGGACCGATCAATATACTCGAAAACCGCACGATCGATCACCCGAGCAATTTTTCCAGAATCCTTTCTGCCCACTAGCACAGAAACGATCACAGCCTGGCCCACGGTGACACTGAACCTCGGGTGCACGGGCATCGCCATCTTATACTCCGGGCTCAACAGATGGAACCTGAGAACATCCGGAAGCCCGTTAGGCGGGGCCCAATTTCCCTTACGAAGAATTGGCCCAGGTACGACTTCAGAAAAGATAAGGTTCTGCTCGGCCCAGATATCGATGTAAAATTCCAAGTCGTCCAGGGAGAGCCTAGGCGGAGGTAGAGGCCTTACGTGGCGGCGTTTGTGGAAGGTTTTGTAGAGTTTTTGGTAAGAAGATGAAGTGAGTGGAGAAGATTTTTTACAAGTGGAGGGCCATTTCTTGGCGCACAAGCATTTCCAGAAATAGTCATCCCGAGCAATCTCACGCCACTGCTTACAAACCGACGAGCACGTGACCAAGTCCACGCCTTCTAGAAGAGGGAAAACGAGCTTCAGAATTTCATCGTTCGGCATCTCTGGTGACTAAAGAACACTTTGGATTGGAAATATTTTTGCTTTTTCTTTGTCCTTTTATAGATGAAATCATCGACTTCTTCTGCAGCATAAAACATAATTCAATAGGATGTTAAGACGCTGTAGAGTGCATACTACGCAAATACTATCACAAAAAAGTATGTCTATCGAAACAGATGGAAATGAAAACCCGTTGCGGAGAACAAGAGGCCACGACTACATAAACATGGAAACTAATCTCAAGATGATCATTAATCGTACATCGAAGTAAATTTGTTGTGTGAGATGTAAGCATGACAAAGTGGAAAAATACTCGAATAAATGTGGATGACTCCATAAGTCGAGCTATCAGCTACCACATATGATCGGTTTTCATTCATAGACAAAAACCCATCACAAATCATGAAAGAAATGAAATTGAAAATCACCACATGGTACAAGCCCCAAATCAAGACCAAACCATACAAAACCAAGACAGCCCATAAACAATCAATCCTAAAATCTGAACCGTACATCAACAACTCTAATCTAACTAATAAATCCCAAATCAGAATAACATAGGATAGAGACAATCAAACAAGAACAAGAACAGATCTCCCAGGGAAAGAATTATCAGACAAATAATGAATTCTCCATAACTAGAAAACAGACACACAGTATACTACCACACAATCCCATCATTAATCGATACGAAAAAAAAAAAA